ATTGTGCTGACATACCCTCAAATCCCATACATATCCAGTTGTATACACAGGCTTTCAACAGATAAAGTAGGGATATTTTTTTAAAATTAAAAGTTGGGAAGACTAGAAAAGTAGGGCATAATGATTTGATTAAGACAATCATGTATAAATATGGACATTTTTGTGATGCTGATATTGTTGTTGTTGCTGTTGTTGTGGGGCATAACATCATTTTTCAGCACACAATAGGCTATACATGGCAGCCAGTATTTAAGGTGGAGGAAGAAACCGGGAAATCCATGGAAAGAACCACTGACCCACGAGAAGCTACTGGCAAGCTTTCTCACATATCCACATTTGCTGAATCTTAGACTTGAACCCATGCAGACAGCGGTGAGATGACAGTGATGTAGATGCTGCTGTAGACTTTTCCCCATGGTAGCTCCATTGTAGTTGTACAATCCATACTTTGTCCTCAAATATTTGCTCCTTTCAATAAAAAAAATCTTTTTTCCTGAATTAACATGGTCCATACTGCAGCAGACAACTTTTATATGAAATTTTATATGAAATGCAGCAATGAAAATATGTTGCCTGTTCCATGCCAGAAGCACAATAAATAGATGGATCATGCAAAATTTACAACACCAGATAATCACTTAAAGCTAGGATGGGTTTTTTTGAAAGCCTGTGTACATAAAAAATCAGATATTAAGATGGAAGGGCTTTGACCTGACTTTTGAAATACAAATGCATTTAATTCTATTATATTTCAATCATTACCATATATACTCACTTATAAATCAAGTCCAGCTTCAAACTGTGCAGATCTAGACCTGCCATCTCAGAATCCACTGGCAGATCTGGGTCTCTGCAGTTTGAAAGTCTAATTGGTGGAACAAGTTACATCATAACCTGCAGGTCATGGTTCATGTTGTTTGCATTTGGATTTTACTTATTAGTGAATATATATGGTATTTGTGTTAACTGAGGTAATCACCGGTTACACTAAGAAACATGAAACAAAAATAGTTTTTCACTCATTCACATACATGCACATCAATCCAAATAATTTATCAATAAGCATGGCAAGGCTATAATAAAATTCACACCGAAAAAAAGGTTAATTTATCATGTCTAACAATTGAACAACATCATAAATCAAATTGTGCTGATAGGCCACCACAATCACCTTTTTTATTTTTCCTTTTTATTAAACATTATCATTATACTGAAGAACAAAACAAACTTGAGCAGCATGCTTTTCATGCAGTAAACTTTAATTTTAATAATTTCTTATGAATCTTATTGACAGTTACATTAAAACCTTAGCATTGTAAATAAAATCAAATTAGTGTAGTACGGTTAATCAGAATGTATTACTATATATACAAGTTATGTACAAATGCAAGCAATGTAGACTTAGACAAAATGCAATAATTGATCAAGGTCTACACTGTTTGTTGTACTAATTACTCCAAACAGGCTGATTAACTCAAGATCTGCTATCACAATAATTGATGGCATGCTTATCTATATTTTGTACTGGCATGCCTGGGCCTTCCTATACTGTTTGTGAGAGACAATTACTAGCAGATATTCAATTAAAATAGCGCACAGTTAATTCATGTTGTGTACAACAATAAGTTGGTAAGCAATATTCTCACCTCTGAGAGCACTTTTATGAATTTTTGTATATCATATAAGTTTATTTTCCTTTAGTAATTATCATTATGATCTTTCAATAATTCCTCACAGAGACTCCCTCCTCTTAAAGAAAGAAGACCCCACCCCATTAAATTAAAATCCATCTGGGAGTTTTGAATATCTTTCTTATTCTTTGTTTTGTAACAATATTGTGTTTTCTCCACATGAAATACAGCCATAAAAATCATTATTTTCCTCAAATTTGAGGACTTTCTCAATAGTTTTTATTCCTTAAGAATAAAAAGGTTTTCAAGAATTCAGTTTTAAAACGGAAAAGTTATTTTGCATTTTTTTATGTATTTACATCTGATAAAAATACTGATATATTCTGAAGTGTCTCAAAACCAGATAATACACAATCTTAATTTTAAGAGATATAAAGAAGTGTAGCAAAATTAGTGCAAGGTTTTTGTGACATTTCTTCATGAAACCCACTGAGATATTATTTGGCAAAATTTCTGACATTGAAATACCACTTAGATGGGGAGTTTGCAGATTTGAACCCAGTCGAGGCATTTTATAAAACTAGTACAAACAGTTGCCTCATTAGGTGCTCAGCATTAAGAAGTTAATGTTAGGACTGGTCAGCCTGGTGCCAGGCTAATGTGACTGGATGGGATATAATGCTACATGTGGCATGATATCACTATAAACTGCCACACTACAAACATTGTAGCAATTTGATTGAATTTGTTAAAAATCTGTTAAAAAAACAAAATTACACACACTTGACAGATTGAAAACAGATTGCATTACAGTTCATACAAAGACCGTTTTTTTTCAGTGACTTTCAAAGTGTATTTTTTGGGATGAAAATTTACTTTATCAATACCTTTTCACTACATAAATAGGCTCAAAAGAAGAAAACACAACTAATTAGCATGCCATTACATAACAGGCATTCTACTTTACCTGGTAATTATCTTGGTCATGTGTCATTTAAACAATCAAATCTTTATCCCATTTTTGGGAAAATACATATTTAAACAATTTTTATATTAAAAGTGATATATTTTATTGTTTTAACATTTTTGTTTGGTTTGGTGCTTTACAGCACAGTAAAACAAGTAGGTTGTTAAGTGAGGAGACGATTAGAATAAGGTGCCTTTTCAGAAGACACCATAGTAGCTGACCCAGGTTAATCCAATGGCAGGATTTGAACATGCACCCTTTTGGTCAGGAGTATGGCATGCTAACCACAAAGCCACAGAAGCTCCTTAACATTTTGTACTTTTTCTGATAAAACTCACATTTTGTGTAACTTTGATGCATTTTTCAAAAGATTCAGTATCTTTTTAAGGGTTAAATCAACTAATTTCAAAATTTAGACAGTTTTCATGGTAACACCTCTGATTAAAGTATTTTTCAAGGCTATTTAAAGCATAGACATTTGCTTACATTTAAAATACACCACAATGAGAAAGAATGTAAGACAATGCTCTGGTAAATCTAGGGACATGCTTTTGTCACAGTTAGGTCAGGAATCTGGGGACATGCTTTTGTCACAATTAGGTCAGGAATCTGGGGACATGCTTTTGTCAATTAGGTCAGAAATCTGGGGACATGCTTTTGTCACAGTTAGCTCAGGAATCTGGGGATATGCTTTTGTCACAGTTGGGTCAGGAATCTGGGGACATGCTTTGTCAGTTAGGTTGGGAATCTGGGGACATGCTTTTGTTACAGATGGGTCAGGAATCTAGGGACATGCTTTTGTCACAGTTAGGTCAGGAATCTGGGAACATGCTTTTGTCACAGTTAGGTCAGGAATCTGGGGACATGCTTTTGTCACAGTTAGGTCAGGAATCTGGGGACATGCTTTTGTCACAGTTAGGTCAGGAATCTGGGGACATGCTTTTGTCACAGTTAGGTCAGGAATCTGGGGACATGCTTTTGTCACAGTTAGGTCGGGAATCTGGGGACATGCTTTTGTCAGTTAGGTTGGGAATCTGGGGACATGCTTTTGTCACAGCTGGGTCATGAATCTGGAGACATGCTTGTGTCAGTTAGGTTGGGAATCTAGGGACATGCTTTTGTCACAGTTAGGTTGGGAATCTGGGGTGGGGACATGCTTTTGTCACAGTTGGGTCAGGGTTGGTAAATACAGGGAATCTGGTATATACAAAGTGATTCTCTAACTGATTTGAGGTAACACAAAAATGATCTCTTGATCTTAGGATTAATATAAAAAATATAAATTCACTTTTAACATTAAGCGACACTCATTAATGTTTGCAGTGTAAGTGTGGTCTTAACATTTTGTGTTTTACAAAACTGATTGTGAAACTAATAAACAACAGGCCTAAGTGGGTCTGAGAATGCTCAGGTGGCCGACATCTGCATGTCAGCTAAATGCAAAATATTTCAGAAATATAGTTCAGTAGGATACTTTTTGTCAAAGTTTCTTCCCATGCTAATGTTCATGTTATACAAAATCCCAACTATTTCATGGTTTCTCTATATTGTTTCTTCATCCATATTTGCTGGCACAACTATATCATATTCCATATTTTGGTCTTTTCCTGGTATTGGTGGCTATATATTTAATAGTGGACAAGTGTCACTTGTATTAATTTGGAAGCCTTATATATCTGAGTACTTTCTGTCAAATTTGGTCATATTATGTTGACCAGGTTTGAAGAAGTCATTTAAAGGCTTTTCTATTTTTAGTAACAGCAGCCATATTTGATTGTAGACTGGCATCATATGTACAACTCTAAAAGCCATTCATATCATATTGCTTTATATCAAAATTTAGTTCAATTCAGTTGTTCAGTCTTAAAAAGTAATTTTAAGATTTTATATTTTATTTGTAATGGTGTCTATACCTGATTGGTGACTGACATCATGTATGAGTCTGAAAGTACTTCATGCCAGGATGCAAGTCAAATATGGTAAAATTCTGATTATTCCAGGAAGACAAACTTGGAATGGGAAGGCACTTACAATGTGGTGCAGTCACCCATAGATGCAAAGAAGGAATTTGTATCATTTTCAAATGAGCTCTTTGACAATTCTTAAAAACCTGTGACACATATTTGAAAAGAAAATAAACGCCTTCTCTGTGTGCCATATTTAATTGGAACAGCTTTTAAAGGTTTGTGTGTTATTTAGATTTTTAACATAGCTTTAACAATTTCTCAGTCATATCACTATGTCTGCACTGTGGCAGTTTATAGTGATGTTTAGCACTTGGGCATCATGCCACAGACATGTCACATTATCATGACACCAGGCTGACCAGTCCTAACACTAACCTCTTAATGCTGATTGTCAAGCAAGGCAGCTGTTAGCACCAGTTCTGTAAGTCTTTGGTATAACTCGACCGGGAATTGAACCCACAACCTCCCACATTCGAGGCGGACGCTCTAGCCACTAGACCATCGGAGCCATATTCTTAGAGGTTTGTAGTAACAAGTCAAGTTTTATTATTGGTAGCAATAGTAGCCATATTTGTCTCAGGATTGCCAATAACTGTACAATAATACAAGCCCTTTAAGCTCACACCCTTTTTGTCAAATTTCATCAAGTTCATTTAAGTGAAATTTGGACAGATATAATTTTGTTTCTTACTATTTTTTCTAACATCAGCCAAATCGTAATGTAAATGAGCCTAATTTTTATAGTTTAAAAACTTTTCATCCCTGGATGATTTCTGAAATATTCAAATAAAATTCTGTGCAGCAGTTTTTGAGCAGAAATTAAAGATTTCATTTCAACAGATCTAATGGCTGATTTTTACAACATGCAAGAATGTTGTCAATCAATTTTGGTCAGATACTGCTGAGAAATATTTGATAAGCTGTTTGAAGATTTTTCTGTGTTTGGCAATATATGATGGCAGATTAGCATCATTTGTGCAAATTTTAAAGAGTTCTGTGCTAGGTAGGTTTCTAAAGAAGAAAAAGTCTGAATGATTCTCTACTTTTAATAAAAATATCCACTGGATTGGCACAATTTTTTTTATAAACCCAAATGCCTGTCAAAACAGGATACTATCAAATGGGGCTGAATTGTTTAGAAGATTGTGTAAAACTGCTTCAAGGTTTTGAATTTTTAGTAATGATGTCTATATTTGCTGGCTGATCTATATCATGTTCATGTTTCAAAACCTTAAACCACAATCTCTGCCAAATTGGTTTAGGTTTGTCCAGTTGTGTTCTGATAATGTGAAAATAACAACTGTTGACTGATGATGGGGGCAAATGACAGATGAAGGAGGAAACTGGACAAAGGGCTATACCATAAGCTCACTGGACCACAAGGCCAGCTGAGATGGAAATTGTCCTTGGACCAAGTATGTCTGACACTCCAGTAATCTGGAAGATTAAAGGTAAATTTAATACATCAGTTACTAACTTTTATAGAAAGTCAGAATTTTGACTTTTTCAAAAAAGTGCACAATGAATATATATAAAGAACTATATTAATGAGCTTAAAAATATTGCTGAAAATCACAAAATACTGAACAAATATTGCACAACCATCTCTGAATTTCACAACCTCAGCTTATAAAATTGTTTCAACATATATATGAAATTATAAATTTAAAAACAATCTGAAGAAGCTATTTTCACCTGCTGAAAGGATGCAAAAAAAAATAAATAAAACACACAAGGCAATAGAAAAAGAGCCTAAAATGCCACTGCCCCATAAAGCTAACCCATTAATACAGGAAAACAATAAGAATTGCACAAAAATAGGTAAGAAAGAAGCAAATGACAATCATCATGTAAAGGGTGACAGCAGAATTCTTATTAGATTCAGTCAAAACAATCCAATTGATATTTTTTCCTTATCTCTAATATAATTCTTACAGATGCACAGGAAAAGAAGCATCAAAACCTTGTTCTAATGTTATTCATATGAGAAAAATACTTCTATATCCATCATTGGCTGTTATAGGTCAATTAACAGTTTACTGTATGTCAATTATAGGCTGTTTTAGTTTAATTTATATTTTACTGCAAGTGAATTACAGCCTGTTTCAAGTTAATTAACAATTTATTGTATGGAAATCATAGGCTGTTTTGGGATAATGCAGTTTATTTTATATTGATCATAGGTCATTATAGGGTAATTAACAGTTTATTGTATGTTGATCACAGGATGTTCTAAGTTAATTAATAGTTTTTGTATGTTGATCACAGGCTCTTTTAAGCTAAATAAGTTTATTGTATGTTTATCATAGGCGGTTATAAGATAATTAACAGTTTAATTGATATAAATCATAGACTATTACATGTTCAGTTTTTTATATTGATCATAGGTCATTAAAAGATAATTAACAATTTAGTAATGTTGATCAGAGACTCATATAGGTTAAATAAGTTTACTTATGTTGATCAGAGGCTCTTATAGGTAAATCAACAGCTTATTATATGTTGATCACATGCTGTTATAGGTTAAATAACAGTTTACTGTATGTCACTCACAGGCTATTATAGGTTAAAAAGTTATTTTATGACAATAACTGGCTGTTTACAAGTTGATTAACAGCTTACTGTGTGTCAATCATGGGCTGTTGTTTGTTGTATCTCAATCACAGTTCATTGTATCTCAATCACAAGGCTGTTACACATTAATAACCTATTGTAAGTCATTCAAAGGTTCTTATTGGTTAATATAACAGTTAATTGTATGTCAATATGCTGTTATTGGTTAATTAAAGTTAATTGTATGCATATCACAGGCTGTTGCTGGTCAATTAAGTTTCTTATATGTCATTCACTGCCTATTATGGACAGTTTAGTGCAGTGTTTCTCAACCATTTCTAGCTGCATCCCTAAAAAAGTTTTGCAGAGACTCACAACACTGTTTCCACAATTTGATAAGTTTTGCCACACTTCACATAAAGTCTTGACAAACAACTCTCTGTGACCTTAAAGAATGTCCTTGCAACCTGATCTGGGTCACAACCTGGGGGTGGGTTTAGTGTAATGCAATCACAGGCTGTTATAGGTTAATTATCAGCTTATTGCACATATAGTGAGGTTGCCGATGGGCAATCACAGCATGGCACATGAAATCCATTTCTAAATGAAAATTATCCATTGTTGTTCAATGAATAATCCAAACCAATAGCTTCAGTATTAGCAAAAATTAAAATAATATTAATGATACTAACCGTTGTCAGTACTAGTAGTTATGACAACAAAAATAACAGGAGTAATTAAAGATGTACATGACTGTAACAAACAGAATTCATTTTGTATTAAATAAACAAGGTGAAAATTGATATTAGCTACTAAAATAATATTTTCAGTTATAGTCTGAAGTGTACCCCCACTTGAATTTGACAGAATTTACATCAGATTCATTAAGACCAAGAGGACAATTTTTCTATCCCACACCAAAACACATACTTGTTTCTATAATTAAAATTACTCCTATAATTTAGAAACAACCTTACACAAATCTAAGAAGTCTAAATCTAGAAAAGCATTTAAATATAAAAAATCAACTTCTTTCATAAAATTCTGTATAGTTCTGAAGAAACTGCACCAAATGCAACAAGGCTTGAAATTAGCAAGCAAAAAATGATTAGCAAAATCTAAGTGCAGCAACTAAGCTGTAAGTTAACAAAAAATGCAAAGGAATTGTTTTGCATGAGAAGAATATCTTAGCCTGCCACCCCACCCTATGACTCTCTGATTACTTGAGATGAGATTAACTTTGTCTACGGGAAAGGTATGAACTAAGTGAATTGAAGATAGAGCTATTTTAAAATAATTCATTTAATTTGACACTGGAAAACCTTTGGAAACTATTGTGACTATGGTCGGATTCTCAACAATCTAATGGTAGATATGGCCAGTAAAAGGCAATGGGGCATTAAGATGCTCATTTTTCATAAAAAAAAGAGAAGCAAAACAAATGTGAGCAGGATTTGACAGGCTCACATCTGCCTTTATCTGGAAGTCACTACAAATATTATCTTCTGCTCAAAAACATCTCATAATATTTTTGACTGCCTAACAATTTTTATTTTATATCTGAAAACATTTTCATTATTGTAAGGCAGATTTGTTTCCCTGCTAAAAAAGTCTAAACTAATCAATTTTAATTGATTAAATTCATATTATCCATTTGTCTTCTCTTCTGATGTGAATAAAATGTTAGAGATACAAAAACAAATTTTAAGACCCTATGAACAAGAAACCTTTCATAAATGTAAGCCCATTTCTCAATCCAAAAATGTAAGCACCAATGTAAACGTAATTTATCAAAAAACCATTTACAAAGTTTTAGACTCACAGATGTGATCTGGTCTTTCAACTATTTTTCTGCTGCAGTTTCACATACTTCTTCCCTTTAAATCTTGATGACCTAATGACACCACCTCTGAAAAATTGTGACATTTTACTTGTGGAATCTGACTTAAAGCGCTTGTGATCTCTGTCTGTTTGCACTTCATCTGTCATTTTTATGACCAAGTTTTCTGCAGCCATATTTTCTTTGTCATCTTCAACGCTGCTTTTCTTGGATTGTCCCGCACATTCTGTTGATTTGGGTAAAATTTTCATCCCTGCCACAATGGTAACTTCATCATCAGAGGAAGAGTTTTTCGGCTTCAGAACGGCACGGCTAATTTTACTGAAAAAACCTCCAACTGTGGATCGCTTATCGGTTTTCTTTTGAATTTTTGGACCTGGAAGCTTGATAACTGGACCTTGTTGAAGTTGGCAGACATTTTCTGATTGATCAACTTGCACGACTCTTCCCATAGTTTCTAGGTTCAGTGGATCGATGCTACTGCAACTCTCTGGTTTAGCAAGAGGAGCTGCTAGACCTAGTTCTGCTGCCTTTTGATGGTTTTTCCCTTCATATCTTGAGAACTTGTGTTCCACGCTTTGCAAATTAGCCAAATCACTGTGAGTCCTGTTTAGTCTTAATGGACTGTAATGTTGTATGGATGAAAACAGTTCTCTCTTGGTTTTAAAAAATCTGTCATTAGAATCAGCACATTGATTATCCTTCTCCAGTTTAGCTGGGAACAGTTGTTTCTGTGGAACAGCAAAGACTGGTTTTTGTTCTCCCTTACTGTTCTCTTCTTCTCTTCCTTTTGTACTGGACTTGGCATTTCCATGTAGAGTGCCTGGTTTCTTCTCAGAAGTGGGTAAAGGGAGCCGACTCTGGACAGACTTACTAACAGTGACAGGAAGATTAACCTGAGCTGACTTTCCAACATCTGGCCTCTTTGGCGTGTCTGTGGTATTCAGTGGCAGTTTTAGCTTGAGAGATGGTGGATTCATAGGGTCTACTCGTGGAATGACTGAGCTTATTTTCTGTGTACTGCTTCGAACCATCTTCATGATTTTTTTTTCTGGGTTATCACCTGAAACAAAGAATGCACACTGAAGCTTTGCACAAGGCAATGACCTTAATTAA